AACCCTTAAGTTTTAAAAACGTATTTAAGATTGACTTGTTAAGTTTTTAGTGAATTGAAATAATTTGAAATTTTTTATTTTTTTATTTATATATATAAAGTAATTGAGTCGAGTAACAGCAGGAATGGCAACGGAGTGAGGCGGGGCCAGGGACTAACCTCCTCGTTCCCGATCCCCGAAAGCGATAAATTTCATGTGTAACAATCAAAAAATTTAAGTTGTCTCTTAAATTTTATACTAGTATTATGGTCGTATGTGATAATATTTTATTAAATAAATAATAATAAATATAGAATTTATTTGGCATTGGATTATTAAATATGTGATTAATTAAAGATTATTATTTGGGGCCAAATTAACAGAAATATAAAATTATAATACTAGTTGGAGCAAATTAAAGTTAAAGATAGTAAATAAATAAATATAAAAGTAAGAGTAAATAAATAATAATATTGATAACAACAACAACAACAACAACAACAATAATAATAATAATAATAAAATAATAATAATAGTAATATTAATAATGGGTGTGGTAGTAAAATAAGTAATTAATTTTCTGTTGGTATACGATAAAGTGTAATTTAATTAGAGATTAATTCATTTATATAAATATATTAGAAAATTGGGTCAAAGTGTAATCATTTTAAATATTTGTTAAAGATAAGCATGTATCCATGTAATTTATTATCAAATCTGGAGAGGGATATGCGAGCCACGTTCTTACCTCCCCATAAATAGGGAGGAAGTGATCAACTGGGTGAAGAAAAAAAGAAAGAAAGGAAGGAAAAGAGGATAGGGAGAAAGGGAAAAGGAAGAAGAGCGAAGGAACATTTGTGAGAAGGTAGTAAAAATAAGAAAAAAAATAGTAAAGGTCAATATTAAGGTGAGTTATATTATACATTGAGTCATCATAATATATTTTACGTATGTTTTGACGTACCATATTTATTTTATACAAGTTATGTTTTATAAATTATTATAAATTATATTAATATTTCAATTATGTGGATTAATTTCTGAACTCTATTTGTTAAAATGAAAACCATGGATATATTTGTTTATCTTTTAAAGAATATTTGACTATAACCTTATAAACAATTATGTTTTGTAAGTACCATCACGGGAGTCCCTTGCCTTAGGAGACTTAAATAACCATCGGCCTCTGTTTGGTCACTTTGTGGCCCTCTGTTGTCATGGATCTATTAACCTCTGTTCTGTGCGGAGGAAAGTGCTGTGCGGAGATAAGTGTTACACTATTGTGGGAGCCATCTCTATAATCCGTATGAGTCACCTCTTGAATCCGTACCTCTGTTCTGGCTGTCATTCCTGTGACCTCTATTCCATTCTATTCGGTACCGTGGTTATGGTTATTTATTTATACAATCTCAGTTTTGCTACTTAAGTGATTATTTGTTCAGACTAAGTTATCTTAAATATTTTAGTTACATAACTATCCATGGTTATTTTGTGTCCCTTATACTCTTTGCACAATATTTCTCACTTTGCCATGTGCTTATAGCTGTTTATCAATTTTCAGGAAATAATGCAATTCAGAAATAGCTTTTGAAAAATCTTATACGCGGGGCTGCGGAATAGACACACACAACACTTTTATGATATTTTTATATATAAATATCAGCCTTTTTGGTCAATAAATTTTGTTATAAAAATAGAAACTCCAATGATTATTTTGGTACCCTCACTTGAATATTATTTCCGCTCGTGTTTATTAATTTGTTTAAGAATTGGCCGGAGGTAACCTCAGTTACTGGCCATCACGATACTTAACCCTTGGGTATGGGGAGTGGGTCGTGACACCCTGTCCTCACCCCCGATCCCCGGTGGGGAGCCTATCGTCTCCCCCACCCCCGCCCCCAATCGAGGATCGGGTTTCTCCGACCCCGAAATATCTCCGACCTTTATTTTTTCTTTTGAATTTTGTTCAACACAACACAAGAATTAATCTGTTCTCATCATCATTATCAATAATCATCATGAACAACAATCATCAACTTTAAAAAAAAATAAAAATAAAAATCTGAAATTGAAAAAATTTGAGTAAAAAAATCTGAAATCAACAACACAGCGATAAAAAACGCAGCGATCTAAGTAAAAATATGTTCTCATTGTCACGTATGCCGCCTCCGACGCCGCCTGCTTCCCCTTGTACACGATCGGAGACTGTGAGACCGCACCAGAAACTGCGACATCGTCCCTTTGTTAAAGTTGCTGCTCAATCTACTGAAAGAAAGAGAGGGGAGAGAGAAACTGAGAGAGAAGATGGAGAGAGAGAGAGAGAGAGAGAAGCGGGTGTTGAAACCCAATTGATTATTAAAGAAAAAAAACACAATACAGAATTTTATTTTGTATTTTGAGACATTTGATAAAATTTTAAAAATTCTGACAAACCGACATTTTTTCAACCCATATTTGGTGAGTAAAAATATGACTATTGATAATTATGACCATTGATAATTGTAGAGAGTCTCAACCCATTTAACTAAGATGCAATAAAAATGATTCTTAATTTGAAATCCATTTTTCCTTAACCCCCATTTGATAGAGAGACAGAGAAGTGGGTGTTGAAACCCAATTGATTACTAAACAAAAAAACACAATACAAAATTTTAACATTTGTTGAAACCCAATCTATTTTGTTTAACATTTGATAAAAATTTTAAAATGTTTAACATTTTTGTTTTTGCTATAAAAGATTAAAATAATTTTTATCACCAAAAACATGGTGCAAAATAAAATGGGCTTTTGATTATGCAACAAAATAAAACAGGGTGCAAACCCCTCTTGTTGGCACCAGATCTTTTGGGTTTTAATTTAATGTTTCAATTTCATTCCTATAATGTTTCAATTTCAATTTCGGTTTGTCATTGGTAGGGTTCAATGAGATTTTTGCTTCAGAATTTTTTTTTAAAAGAGAGTCTCAACCCATAAGATGAAATAAAAATAATTCTTAACATGAAATCCATTTTTCCTTAACCCCCGTTTGATAGAGAGAGAGAGAGAGAGAGATTAAATAAAAAAAATTATAAAAATATTATTTAAAGTGAAATGTCAATGACATTTTTAAAATTATGAGAACAATAATGATTATTTTGATTGAAAATAAAGGGACTATGATAAGTCATATTATTTTCTATGAAAATTTCAATATAATGGTAATGTCTATCATTATTGACATACAAAGATAATTAATTTCAATGAAGATATGAAATTTATTGAATTGTTAGTTACATTTGACATATAGAGTTTATCCTTCATGTGTTTCTTTCCATTCATAACTAAAATGACTACTATATAAATTATAATCAAACAACACATCTTCAATTATAAAAAAAAAAAATTACAATAGGTCATAACTAATGAGTCATAACTAACTATTATTTGATATATAATCATAACCAAAATAACAAACACAAGAAGTTATAACTAAATTATATCTAACACTATAATGTGTTAGAACTAAAGACCGCGAAGATTATAATTGCGACATATGATATACACTTTTTTGCGGTATGCTTTATAGAATTTATCTACTAAAATATATCATTTCTATCTCAACTTATCTTCTTTTTAAATTTTTCAATCTACCTATAAAATAGTTACTCTCCAATATTTATATAAAATTTAATCTCAAATCCTTTAATTTAAAATTCGCATTTATCTAAATGAACTCTTAATATTTAAGTTTAGTATCATTGTTGTTTATTATAAAGAAAAAAAAATTAATGTTGTCATTAATTTGTGCCCCATCTTCATTAAATTCTTGGCTACGCCACTGGTGGTGGTGGTGGTGGTGTTGGTGGTGGTGAAATAGAGTTGGAGATGGTGGCGGTGGCGGTGGCGGTGGCGGTGGCCATGGTGATGGTGTGGTAGTGGAGGTGAGAGTGGTGGTCAGTCAGTTGTAGTGTGGTTTTGCATTTTAAAAGTGAAAAATAATTTTTGTTTAAATAGACTTGTTTTTGGTTGACCATAAAAAATATTTTATGTTGATTTTCATTTTTCATTGTACCAAATACTAGAACTACAAAAAATATTTTCTAAAAAATATTTTTTGCCAAAAAAAAAAAAAATTCATTACAGGTAACTGCACACTACATAAAAATTTGGCACTTAGGGAATCTGAATGCTTACAGTTAACTGCATGCTTCCTTTTTATTAGGACAGTTGTTAGATGCTGTTTTTAAAATGGATGACAATTAAAAGAATGATATAACTTCTTTACGCAAGGAATTAGAATGCTGAATGGATACTTTGTGTAGATCATCTCTCATTTATGAACTCATAAATATTGACTCATCAATTATGAAAATCATATAAATGCATCCTTTTTAGAGATAGTCTGTAGGAAGTAAAAGTAATACATTTTTATAGTTAGGTGAAGCAAAATGTACGGGTTCATAGATAAGAGAGGTAAAGTGATATTTGTTAATAGTTTAATAGGTCTTAGCGTAAATAATCCAAAATCTAACTGAAAATATAAGAGGTTAAGGGATGATTTGGAATGATCTAAATAAATGTATGTTTTGATTTTTTATGAAATATGAGTTGGGTATGTGTTGGATTTGAAGTGATATAGTAGAGAGGTGATGTGATTTAAATAAAGTGATGTGATTTAAATATGATGATGTGACTTAAATAGAATAGTGACTTTTTGACTTTTTTAGATTATGACAATAATACCTAAATTTAATTAGTTATCAAAAAAATAATAATACATAGACATTCAATGATGGTTGGATAAATGTGTTATAATAAGAATTATAAAACATAAACTTAGAAGTGACTCAACTATTAAGTGACTTAGTCTATTGCCTAATACCCACCTAAAAAATATCAAAATACTCTTATTGTCGAAGGCTCCAAAATTTTAAGTTAATAGTTTGAGGATTCTAAAAATCTTGACCACTACTACATGTACTATTGCTCTTATAAAACAGCATCTATATATAGCGAAATATAAACTCTCTCTTCAAGCTTCCCTCTCTCATTCATGGCTAGCGACATATAAACTCTCTCTTCAAGCTTCCCTCTCTCTCATTCATGGCTCACCCCACAAAAAACGAAAGGCACATAAAAAACAGAGAGTTATACAGAGCTTTGTTGAGTGGAAATGAGAACAGAGTAATTGAACTCTGCAAACAAGTCCAAAATGGGCCATTACATGAACTAACCATACACCATGACACAGTCCTACACATGGCTACATATGGCAAACAAGATGAGTTGGTGTTGAGTTTACTCCGGGAGGTGCCAGAGACCGAAAACCACATGTTTTTGGCGGCAAAGAACGACATCGGAAACACCATCCTCCACGATGCAGCTACGTCCAATAAACTAATCCCCGCTGCTCAGGAAATGCTGCGCAGAGTCCCCGCTCTGTTGCATGAGCGCAATAGGATCGGGGAGACTGCCTTGGCCCGCGCAGCAAGGTATGGAAAGATGGAAATGTTCAAGTTTCTTGACTGTGAAGTCAAAAGAACTTTTATGAGTGATGGAAAAGAAGAAGATGGAGAGGAAGGGCATATAGACTTTTATCGACGGGAAGATAAAAGCACCATACTTCATGGCGCGGTCTATTCCGAACATTTTGGTTAGTTACTACTCAAAAAATTAAGGGTATATTACACTTCTACAAGGGTTTGGGGAAAATGTTACAAGTTTTACGTATCATTTTTCTATTTGTATGATTAACAAATTACTAAAAATAAAATTATGTGTTATTATATAAATTAAAATCATAGAGAGCTTATTGTAATTCTACTAAACTTGTGAAATTTATTATTTTTTCTCCAAACTTAGGCCTCATTTAGGAACAGATTATTTTAATAACTTTTTGATTTTTTATAAAAAAAAATGTGTAAAAGAAATAAAGAGAGTGATATAATAATTTATAGTGATTTTTTAACTTTTTAACTAAAATGTTTAGTCTCCAAATGAGACCTTCGTTGAGGTCAATGTTATTTGCCCTAAAATTAAAGATAGGTCTCACTAATTGTTCCCTAATATGCGTTTCAATTCTATAGACACAACACTTCAACTAAAAAATGTAGTAACCCTACAAAGGCGAAATATGAGTGATTGTTAAAAAAACAGTGATACATAGACATTTAATGACATTCAGGATCGTGTTTTTAGCAATTATTTTGTAAAAAATTTAGTGCATGTGGAATCCATATATAATAGAGAAAAGTTAGGAATCATAAAAAAAATTTCATGAAAATGATGATGAAAGATTTTTTTTTTTTTTTGATCAACAACAAAGATCCCTTTATTGAAAGATTTATGATCTTTGGATTACCTTGATTAGTGTGTGGTGCTTTATTTTAAGTGTAATCCAAGGGTCACAAAGCTTTCATGATTATTTTCATGAAAAGTTTTTCATGATACCTAACATTGTTGTATATAATACTCCAAAAATATAGTTTTTTTTTTGATCGGCACTCCAAAAATATAGTTGTATGAACACAGTCCACCTATCAATACGATTGCACGCCTATCAAGTGTGTGACTGAGATTTTTATATTTTACTCTACTCCAAAAATTGTACGAGCATTTTTTATATCAATAGTGCTACATTCGTCTAATTTATTACCGCTAAATCACTCTTAATGATGTAGCATTGAGGTTAAACTCCACAAGATGGAATGTTTGACAAATCAAAATTTGACACTTGTCAGACACATCATTAGATTTTTAGGGGTGATAAATTAGGTGTCTCAAAAAATTTTCTTTTTATATACAAAAATCTCAATCACACAGTGCATTTTTTATGTATTTTTTTATAATTTATTTTTGTGGCATATCAATTTTTTATTGGGCAAATTATGCTCATGATCCCTGTAATCTGCCTCTTGACAATTTGGTTCTTATAATTCCAATTGTATCAATTTTGCCTAATTTTCTCTTTGATGATTTTTGTTTTTCTTTGATTTTAATATGAATATCAAGCAGACTTGGCCCTTTATATTGCCCAAGAGCATGAATGTTTGGTGAGCGCAAGAGATGAAGATGGGTTGACAGCTCTTCAACTTCTAGCATGCAATCCCTCAGCATTTGAAAATGGAAGCAAAAGTTACCTAAAGCGGCTCATCAAATCTTGTATGATATTTTTAATTGAAGTCTCTCTTTTTTTTATCATTGATTCATTTGGTTGTATAGAATAAGTAAAAATTATTCAATATTCTCGAAATATCATTGTAACATCTGCACGTGATTTACAAACCAATGACATCACATAAAAGAAGATGAATATGTCCGATCTTGTCTCTCATCCAATTTACCAAGATAATTCACGTCGGCTCCACTCATTTCATTGTTAGTGTTTTTATTGATTCGAAAACACTACATTAGTCTGTTGAGAAGATAATTGAAGAATACTGAATCATAACTTTTTTTTTTTTTTTTTTTTTTTTTTGATCGGCAAAAGGAAAACTTTATTGATGGAAAAGGAAAATTACATCAATAAAGTGGAGCTTGGAGCTAAAACAAGCTCCAACCTCCAAGTTGGTGAGAAACCAACGAGCAAACACAACAGAGAAAAAAACCAGAAAAAACAGATAGCTAAGGCACTACATCACCCAAAAAGGCACAGATTTTCTGGGCTATATGCCATGAATACCCACAGCTCAAACAAAGCATACCAAACACCTAGCCTTGAACAGCTGATAAGATGCTTGAAGTTTGACCCAATGCTTTCCTTGGAGTATATAACAGCAGCCAACTGTGTGTATCAAATATCAGATTTTCTGAGCTTGCAGCAGCCCCACTGTGTGTATCAAATATCAGAACCAGCATTCACCTACTTACTCAATTAACTACAGCAGGCCCATTGTAACCCATTGTGACTATCAATTAATTTTGAATCTTCCTCCTCTGCACAGTCCAACCCAGAAACAGAATTAGGCTGCAACAATCCAGCAAGAATCAACCTAGGAGCTAAGAAGGCAACATGATAATAACAACCATAAAGTAGCCCAAAACCAGAACACTGAGATAGGCTTCCCAAACAAAACAGCCCATGAACCATTTGCCTTCCAGATGTATACAAAAACAACACAATGAAGCAGCCTTCCCACCATAGCAGACCAAAATTCCTCCATGGCAGACCAAAATTCAAACACATATTCAAACACAAATAAATCACCACAACACATCTCCAGAAGGCACCATAGCAAAACAACAAACTTCCAAAATTTCTAAGCCTAGTTACTCCACACAGCACAACCCTCAGGTGGATTAGCCCCCAGCTGGCCCCTTAGCAGTGCAATAGCTCCAACTGCACTCCAGCCATACGGCATTCAGAGCATAACAGACTATTCTTCATCACATCAGTAATTGAAACCTCCTCTGCTTTACCCCACCAAAGCTGCAGAAAGTCACCAAGATCCCATTCAATCTGCTGCAGAAACTCCTAAGCCAAGCATCTTCTAATCTGTTGCAAATTATGCACTAGGTCATTGACAGTGAAGTTCAAAGCTGGGACATAGGACTTAATCCACAAAGCAATTCGAACCTCAATTGATTCACACAAAGCTAGAAAATTAGGCTCCACCCCATTGAACACAGAGTCATTCCTCTGTTTCCATATGGACCAGAAAATAGCATATGGAATTACACTCCACAGCTTCTTTTCCAGTTTCCTCATGCTACAACCGGACCACCACTGGATAACACTCTGGACAGAACCTGGTGAAGCCCATTGCCACCCCCACCTTCTGACAAAATAAGACCAGATCAGCCACACACGAGGGCAGTGAAGTAACACATGGTTAATAGTTTCCTCCTCTTCTTTGCAAAAAACACAACAAACATCAACGTTGTCATTTAGGATACCAATTCTGCGCAAATAACTAGCAGACTTGATTCTACCCTTCCACACCAACCAACCAAAGAATTGTGCTCTTGGTGGAGCAGGAGCCTTCCACAAAACTCTATAGATCAAACTATTAGACCCAAAGCCCATTTCAAACCACTGATAAACAGATGAGACACTAAAACAACTAGCTGTATTTGCATTCCAAGTCAAACAATCGGCCACATTAGCTCTAAGCAAAGGGGGACTACTCAGAAGTACTAGTAGTCTACTCAATTCTGCTTCCTCCCAAGCAAAAAGAGGCCTCCGAAAATTAAACACCCAATTCCCAAATACATCTCTATTGCTGTGAAACATGAATACAGACTCTTCTTTATCAACTGATAGAGAATATAGTCTAGGAAACTCATCTCTAAGACATATGCCCTCTGCCCAACAATCAGACCAAAATCTAATTCTTCTACCGTCCCCAAGCTTGACCACAGCATTACTCCTAAAAAATTGCATCAGATCTGCCCTAGAAGCCACAGTGTAAATAATATCAGCCCAAGTTTTAGACAACCTACTAGTCCTCTCAATGGAGGGATACCATGCCCAACCTGACTCCCTATACTTTCCACATATAACATCCTTCCAAAGAGAGTTCTCTTCAGCACCAAACCTCCACCACCACTTCAGTAAAAGGCATACATTCATGATTCTGATTCTCTTAACACCCAACCCTCCTAAATTTTTACTTTTAGAAACATCCTCCCATTTCACCAAATGCACTTTCCTCCTCAAATCTGAGCCACCCCAAAGAAAAGCAGATTGAATACTTTCCATCTTTTTTGCTACCATCTCCGGCATCTTAAATATTGAGAGATAAAAAATAGGTAGGCTAGCAAGAACAGACTTAATCAAGGTCAGCCGACCGGCAAAGGATAGATATCTTCTCTTCCAAGAAGCAAGTCTTTGCTTACACTTATCAATCACTGGCAGCCAAGTTCTGCTACTACTTGGGCTGGCCCCTAATGGCAACCCCAAGTATTTGATGGGCAATTTTTGAAATTTACAATTCAACCTTCTTGCAAAATCCTGGCCCAGCTCATCTGGAATCCCCACCCCACAGACCACACTTTTGTTAAAATTAATTCTAAGTCCTGACAAAACTTCAAAGCACCTGAGGATTCGTTTTATATTTACTATTTCCCCCCAATCAGCTTCACAGAACAAAATGGTATCATCCGCAAATTGTAGATGCGTAATCCGCAGACTACTAGGCCCAATAGATGCCCCTGTAATCAGTCCCAAATCTTTTGCTCTACCCATTAAGATATTAAGTGCCTCAGCCACAATAATGAACAGAAAAGGTGACAGTGGGTCTCCCTGACGAAGTCCCTTCTGTGGACTAAATTCAGGAGTTGGAGACCCATTAACCAACACTGAAGATCTTACAGAAGTAACACATACCTTCATCCACCTCACCCATTTAGTTCCAAAACCAAATTTAACTAACATAGAGAACAAAAATTCCCAATTGACTGAATCATAAGCTTTATGGAAATCCAGTTTAAGCACAACTCCACATCCTCTTGCCTTCTTCCACCCATCTACTATCTCATTAGCAATCAGTATGCCATCTAAAATGTTTCTGCCCCTCAAAAAAGCCGATTGAGTTTCACTTATGATCCTAGGCAGCACCTGCTTCAACCTATTGGATAGTACCTTGGCCAATATCTTGTACATGGACCCCACTAAGCTGATGGGCCTATATTCATTTAGGCTAGCTGGGTTCTCATTTTTTGGGATTAAAGCTATGAAGGAACTGTTTAACCCTCTAACTAACTTGGCATTTTGATGAAAGTCCCTCATAAATACCAAATACAACCTTAGATAATAACAATTTGAATTCCTTCTAGGAAAAAGGTGTCCCTTGGGACCCTGCCTATAACACTCCACACTTTCTCATCAAAGATGAAATGTCCTGCATTATGATCATTCTCGTGGCTTTCTTCAACTAAGATGCTCCGCGCTTCCAAAAATCCTGAATCATGGCCTTCCCCAATTGACTTAAAGGGGCCATCTAAGGTGGGCCTAACCCTCCAAAACTCTTCAAACATATTGGTAAAGTGTTTCAAGACCTCAGCTTTAATAGCTAGTGGCTCTTCTACAGTATTTTCACTCACCAAAATAGAGCATAAGGCATTCCTATTACTTCTACATCTGGCCACAGCATGGAAAAAAGAGGTATTTCGATCACCTAATAATGCCCATTTAAGTCTCTATTTTTGAAACCACATCCTCTCCAACATTTTACTTAGTTTCCAAGCATCACCTTTCAGTTCTCTCTTCCTTGCTATTTCATCTGTAGATAAGACCCTTGTTTCGGCAACTAGATCAAGGGCATGAACTTCCTCCTCTATAGCTTTGAGCTTGCTCTCCACATTTCCAAACACCTCCTTATTCCACCCCTTCAAAGCTGATTTTAACCCTTTGAATTTGGCTAAACATCTGAATCCAGCCCAACCCAACACATTTAGAGCAGCCCAAGTTTGTTCCACAAATGGCAAGAAATTTGGATGCAATGACCAAGCATTTATGAACCTGAATGGTCTAGGACCCCAATCCCTCTCATCCTCCATCAGAATAATAGGCAATGGTCAGAGACCAGTCTAGGTAAACCCCAAAGCTTAAAATTGAAAGTCTGCAACCATTCTGGATTTAATAGAAATCTGTCAAGCCTGCTCCATCCATTGCCCTCTTGTGAATGACACCAAGTAAACTTCCTTCCACACATAGGTAGATCAAAGATCTCTAGTTGCTCTATCAATTCATTGAACTCCCTCATACCCTTATCCCTCCTAGAGCAACCTTTTCTTTCAGAAATGCTTTTAATTTCATTAAAATCACCCCCCAAGCACCATGGTTCCAAGAAATGTGATTTAAGATTCACAAGAATATCCCACACCCTTTTTCTTCCTACAGAATCATTTGGCCCATAAACATTAACAATTACACAGTTAAAAGAAGAGAATATTGAACCTGCTAGGAGGATAAAATTGCGATTGCAACAACAGTTCTTGAGCTGAAAAACTACAGGATTCCAGATACAGAGAAGCCCACCAGCAGACCCTACTGAATCAACTGACATAAACTCCATTTTTTCCCCAGGCCAAATAGTTTGCACCAGCTCTGAATTAACTACCTCTCTTTTGGTCTCTTGCAAGAGAGCTATGTCTACTTTCCTCTCCTTAAGCACCTGCTTGATTTTCCTACACTTACCCGTCCTACCTAACCCCCTAACATTCCATGATAAAAGCTTCATTTAACAAAAGAGCACACCTTAGCCTCCCAGAAGAAGTCAATTAACTGACTACTCCTTTACCCTTCTGGTGCACCTTGTCCATATCCCTGGACTCTAATTCCATAAGCTTGCTCATGACCTCCTCCTCTTTGCCTTCACAGTTGAGCCCAAGTACTCGCCCCATCTGTAAGGTTGTTTCAGCCTCATTGAGTAGCAATCTACCACGACTGGATTCACTTGCCATAGACAGCGAAATAGCAGCCACTGCAGACCTAAAAATTGCTCCTTTCTTGACTTGTACTGATGGACCAATTCGGTTATGAAGCTCGAGTCCCCCTTTCTTATTCCAAACTCTCCTCCTCATACATTTACTCTTCTGTTTCCTGTGGGTTTTTGTAACCTGATGTGAAGGACCTGAACACACCCCGGCCTTACCCAAACCCACTCCACTGGCTGACTGAATTTGTAGTTGGTGCTGGGCCGAAACCCCACAAATAGGCTGAAAATAATTGTCACCATTAGTTGGGCTTTGTAAACATCTAGTGACACCAAGGCTTTGGGCCTGATTAGAATTATTCCCCCCATGTTGGGCTTGGGCTTTGCCCAACACTACCTCAAGGTTTAAACCAGCCCCTTGACAAACAGAACCACTCAAGCTTCGAATAAAACCTGGCGTGCATACTACATCATTGACCTTTGCATGATCACCACTCACACCTTGCATAGAGCCCACCAACTTGACTTCGGGGCTGACATTACGTACTCCACATGCCACCTCCAATCTACTGATAGTCTCTTCCACCACAGAAACACTCTGCCCACTATTTACCTTTCCATCATCCTCTGACACAGTACGCTCCCCTGCTGCGGCAGCAACTCTATGATCACCGACCCCTTTCTTGGCAGCCTCATCGACCTCCTGCACCATCGGAAAGTTGCCCAGATCTGAATCGGAAACCTCATCAGCGGCCTCATTGTTTGAACTCTGGCTGTCTCGACCCCTTTGGATCGACCGACAGCTGCAATGTTGCATTACTACCTTAGAAATAACAATCTGCTCCTCACAGATCTTGACTGGGTAGAAGATGCCTTTGCAATCTAAGGTAATGGACACGTTAATCGATTCCATACAGGATGTGGCTATCCTAACCTTACCACATTGCAAGTTCTTTAACTGCAAAGTGTTATCATCTACCTTAATAACTTGCCCCCACTGCCTCCCTATGCTGTTGAAAGTATTAAAGCTCCATAAGTTAGGGGGCACTCCATAACAGCTTAGCCACACAATACGTTCTTGATCCAAGATCATACCTTGTTTCCAGACTTTTACTGAGTCAGTCCAATCCTTAATCCAACCTTCCATTTTCATCATTTCATGTTGCATCATCTTTACTGAGTTAAAGGAGAGTATCACATCTCTGCCCCCACCTATTGTAAATTTCACAACCCCCAAATCCCTGATCAACAACTCCTTCTGAAAATCAGTTACAGAACAAGAGGATTTCAACCTTACTATTACACTCTCATATAACCAGCCATTTCCTTCTTCAAGTGCCCTGACAGTGATTGTTGATTTTGACTTTGAGCCACCTTCCCGCAGAGCCTGCGCATAAGACATATTCCTTCTGTGTGACCCTGGGACAGCAATAGACTTACCTCTATCATCCCTACCAACATTTGGATGTGCTGAGTTATGCTTCACAGTCTCCTCCTTCCCAAACTGGGCCATCTTGACCTTCAAAGCTTTATCGTCACACCACATCCCATCTGTTTTTTGAAGCGCCATAGTTGCTGCCACTAAGCAATCATACCGAACAAAACCAAACCTGGTACGAGACATTTTTCTTCTCTTAAAGGGGATGAAGACATCCCTTACAACACCAAAATTTGAATATAGAGAATACAACCTCCTCGGATCCATCGAGTCAGGGATGTCATCGACGAAGATAGTATGGACAACAGACTGATCCCTCCTACGCTCGGATCCTTGCCCTCTATGTCTACGGACCACTGGCCGCCAATCTCCTAGCTCTCTCTCTTTTCTTCGATCCATTAATCTACATGGATCAAGTGTAGTTTTATCAACAAGAATCAAAGAAGCTGCGCCAACAAATTCTACTGAATCATAACTTGTAAATAAGATATGGAAGCAAACCAATGGATCACTCACTATAGTATTAAACTTTCTTCACATTTTAACAAAAGAGCTTGTGGATTAGATAGTTGAGCCAATGAAGCTCGCCACTAGTCTCACTCGATGAATTGATCCATTCATTTTGTAAGTCCTATATGTATATTATTCATAAAAAAAATTATATTGATCAAATAACTATGCTCATATTATTTCGTGCATTAGATTAATCTCTCTTGCACTTTGCCACTTTGTGCTTCGAAGTCTAAAAGTCACAAATATGGGTGTTTTCAGGTGTCTCAACTGAAGAAGCTTCTACAACAGAAGAAGGTTTATAGAAAATACTTTACAATCATGCTATACTTTTTACTCAATTTTAGCAATTGGAAATATGAATTTTTATGCTATACACAACACAACTATTTCTGAATTTTTTTGGTTTTTGTTTTCTGGAAAAGGTGAATCGTGTTTTAAAGTCCCTTTGTGGGAAGCCATTCGGGGAAAAAACCAGAAATATCAGTCAGCAGTGAGGCTTGCCAAGTTCTTAATAGAAAGAGATACCTCATGGGAGGCTACTGAAACTGTATTAAGCACGGGTATATCTAAGACCCACAAATATGGAGTGGCTTCTATTTCCTCAATCCAATCGGTAGGGAAGGAACACGAAACTGAGACAAGTCATGTGACGAACAAACCAAATACTGCTGAAACTGCACTTTTTTTGGCTACTAAGTCGGGTATTTTGGAGATCGTTGAAGAAATACTTAATATGTATCCTCAGGCAGTCGAGCACATTGATGATGAAGGGCGTAGTATACTTCATGTAGCCATTAAGTACCGCCAAATACATATTTTTGATTTTGTTGAGAAGATGGAAATTCCAATGAGGCGGCTTATAAGAAAGATTGACAATGATGGGAACTCTATACTGCATATGATTGGGAGAAAGCCAAATGATCACTTTGATGAAGACATGAGAAGCCCTGCTATGATATTGCAAGAGGATTTGCTCTTGTTTGAGGTACACTAACACTAATCATGTTGTTCCATTCTTGATGTGCATCAGAGTTTTAAATATCACTCGATACGTAACGAAATTTTAGACTTATGATACATTATTTACTGATATATTGGTTGATACTGTTTGACATATGATAGTATTGCTAATGCTGATACTGATACTTATTCTCATGATGTGCACATGCAAAACATATTATTCTTGCTACTTTCCTTATTAAACATTGGATTTGTGCAAGTTTGAAGTTGCTGGATCAAATAGGATCTTGGTCCAACAACTCAAAGAAAAATTTTCATTTACTATGACTCAGTATCATTTTACACTCTTAAACTATTAATTTGTAACAATGTGCATCTTCTACTAAGGATTCATTATGTAAATAAATGAAAATTTGTCATATGTCTTTCTCATGACATCTCAAATATTGTGAAATACTTAAAATTACTTTATTTTCTTCTTCTTTCTTTTTCTTCTACCTGCAGTAGCAACCAAACATGGCAGTTGTGTAGGCGGCCATGGCTGCTAACATGGGTAAGAGAAACAAGGGAAGATAAAAGTGAAAAGAAGGGGAAAAGAAGAATTAGTTCATTTTGAGCATTTCACCATATTTTAGAAGCCATGTGCAGACAAAAGTTAACTTTTCATTCATTTATATAAGGAAACCTTAATGGAATGTTAACATTGATACAAATTGATAGTTAGCAAAATGTAACTTTTTTTGTTAGGATCAAAGAACTTGTTATACAAGTGAATTGAAACAACGTTCTCTTTGGATTGGCTATCCATTGCAGCGTGTGAAGAAGATATCTACAATCCATTTCACCAGACACTTCAACAAAAAAGGACAGACTGCTGACACGGTTTTCGCTGAAAACAATATTGAGCATCGTACAGAAGCAAAAGAATGGCTAAAGCGCACATCTGAAAATTGCTCCATCGTCGCTGTCCTAATTTCCACCGTTGCCTTTGCTGCAGCCTACACTGTCCCTGGAGGTCCCAATGAAAGCACCGGTTACCCACTCCTCCTCGACCAACCATTCTTTGTAATTTTTGCTTTGACAGATGTCCTTTCCCTCACATTCGCATTGACATCCGTCATCACATTTCTTTCCATCCTCACCTCATCGTTTCGATTAAGTGACTTCAAGCAATCTCTTCCTCAAAAACTTATGCTAGGGATCACATTGTTGATCCTTTCCGTGTCAATGATGATGCTAGCATTTGCAGCGACGGTAATTCTTTTGATACGTAACAAGCAACAGTGGACTAGAATTGCCTTATACTCTGTGGCGTTCTTCCCAGTCTCCATCTTTGCCCTTACGTACTTGCCTCTCTATACTCAACTGATGAAATCATTCGCATACACGCTCAAGAAAATTGGAGTGGCGTTTCCCTTGTTTAATGGTGGTATTCTTCGATCTTGGGTTGCCAAATCATTCAGGTCTGGTAGAAACTCCAAACCCTCTAGGTCTTCTGCACCTCAAATCTCTCATGACCATGTTTAGAAGTTAGACAAAGATTTGTATGTTTTAAAAAAGCTATCAACAATGGTAGGTATCATGAAAAACCTTTCATGAAAATAATCATGAAAGCTTTGTGACCCTTGGATTACACTTAGAATAAAGCACTACACACTAATCAAGAAATCAAAGGATCATAAATTTTTCATGATCATTTTCATGAATTTTTTTTTTATGATTCCTAACTTTTTCCTAAAACTATTGCTTATGTTGAATGAGAAAAGTTAGGCATCATGAAAATTTTTTCATGAAAATGATCATGAAAGAGTTATGATTCTTGGATTACCTTGATTAGTGTGTGGTGCTTTATTCTAAGTGTAATCCAAGGGTCACAAAGTTTTTATGATTATTTTCATGAAAAGTTTTTCATGATACCTACCATTGCTGAACTTTTAAGTTTGTTTAATAAAACAAGTTAAACTCAAGCTAGAATGAGCTCGATTAATTTATTATAACAACCTAGTTGTGATGTATAATAAGGCCTGTCCAATAGTTCAATAACTAAAATGACTAGTTATTGCTATATTTTAATAATGAATGATGATAAAATGCTATATTTTAGCATGTTTGCATTATTTCGCACAATAAAATTTTCTTTCATTTATTTTTCAATTTCAACTACCACTTCAAAATAACATAGTAGATGCTGTATAATTAAACTTTTTAAACTTAATTTAAAGTTATATATTTCAAACTAAAATAATATATACAAGACATAATCGTGGATAAGAAAAAGAGGAATATAATTGTTAGAATAATATATTATATATGTAGAATATTGTCATAATATAATAGAATAATATGACTAAAATAATATATTATTCTAACGATAATAATTTGAGCTGTTAGATTGTGCCGATATTTTTGTGCTTCATCATACAAAAAAAAAAAATTTAAATGATTTTTTTGTTTGATCCATCCTCTTTTGTTTGCAAATGTCAATCTTAATTTTTGATGAAAGTGATATGGAATATTTTGGTTGATTTCTATTATTTTTTAGGACATATGATCATTGTCCATCCATTTTTTTATTTTTATTTTTAAAATTTTAGAAATTATAAATTTTATAGTTTGATGATCTCAGTTGGCCTATTTGAGGATGATAAAAATAACTTAAATAGAGCTCAATAGGTTGTAGACAAAAGAGTTCATGTCAATAGGGATGGCAATGGATAACCTACCCTGTGGGTATCCATGGAGACCCAACCCAAATACATGGGTTTTTCCCTTTTTTCTTATCCATTGGGTAGGGTAGGTGATATTCTTTGGATATCCACAGGGGATGAGTTGGGGATGGATACCCACTAATTTCCCCATATGTTTTTTTATTTTTTTTATTTTAAGATTCACAACCAAAACTAAATATACATTCAATCTTTTTTCTTTTATTTATTTATTTATTTATTTCAGGTTCACAACCAACTTCTTCTTCTTCTTCTTCTTCTTTTTTTTTTTTTTTTTTTTTAAATCCACAACCAAAGCTAAATATACCTCAAATCTTTTTTATTATTATTATTTTTAAGGTTCACAACCATTTTTTTTTTTAATTTTTAAGATTCACAACCAAAGCAAAATATATATTCAATCTTTTTTTTTTTTAATTTTTTTATTGTTATTTTTTATTTTTTAAGGTTTATAATCATTTTTTTTTTTTTAAGATTCACAACCAAAGCTAAATATACATTCAATCTTATTTTATTTTATTTGGCTCAACAATAAAATCAAATACACTTTAATTAATATTGTCACATTATTCTTGTCAAATTTTATGCATATCTAAAATTTTTTAAATTTATTTAAAAAAATTAAGGACACTGTCTAGTGTAGGTTTCAGTTTGCTTTTCTATGTTATTTTATTTTGTTATGTATTGTAATCTTCAGAATGGTTTGCTTGTTCTGAAATTTCAATTAACGAGTATGAATCTATTTGTTTTATGTTATCACACAATTTATACAACATATATATATATATATATATGAATGTATTTGAAAATAAGGAAATTGTAGAGAATCGAAACAATATGAGTCGTGAATTGGTTAGAAAGGATGGGTTACAAGATTTATGTGCTGGTTAAAACAAAAGGTGGATACAAAAGTTTTACTAAATAATTTTTTTTAAATAAAAAGAATTTTCTTATTATGGAACAGATTTAACTGAAATCAGCTTGGTTTCCCCAATTTTATGCTTCTTATTTATAACCTTATTGATACCAGACAATATCATATTTCCAGATAGACAAATATTTTTATAAATAAAAATTAAAAAAACATTTTTTTATATTTGTGGTACGGTGATGAAACGAAGGTGAAAGTAGAGATGTGACATATGCTTGTGATGGGGTGTGGCGATAGATGGCTATGGGATGGTAGTGTGTGATGAAGGTGAGAATAGTGGTGATAGTGTTGCGTAAATTAGTAAAAATTTAATTGAAAAAATATTTTGTTTTTTAAAAGAACAAACAACAAAATTCGTGGGGACTCAAAGAAGAAGATTGGAGGAGTGGATTGGGTGTGGATAAGCAATAGATATCTTAAAATATGAGTGGTTCAGATTTTTGAAGAGGGTATTAATTAGATTTGGATAAATAAAATGAAATTGGTTCAAACTTTGCTAAGAGAAAAGAGGATGATGAATGTCTAACAGCCTTCTTTCACATTTTCATTTCTTCAAACAGGCTCTTATAACATTGTAATAAGGTCTTACAACATAGTCTATAAGGCACCATGCGTATAGGAAAGAGTGAGAGAGAGATGGAGTTGTGTGTCTATAAGTCTGTTTTGCTATCTTCACCACAGAATTCTCTCACATTTTTTTTGAATTACTAAACAACTTATTTGATTGTCTCAAAATTATATTTGATTATCATAAAACAAATTATTTAATTAATTCATTAATGTGCATTTGATTTTTTGTTGGAACCCAAATAAAATAAATATAAGATTGAATGTATATGGTAGCTGTGTTTGTGAACTTTAAAAAAATAAAAAAATAAGTGCTAACATAGACTATATTAAGAAAAAGAAATAAAAAGGATTGCAAAGGTATATTTAGCTAAAACCTTAAAAAAATAAAAAAAAAAAAAAAAAAAAAAAGAAGTTGTTAACATTTAATATATTTTAAAAAAAAAAAGAAAGAAAATAATGATTGAAAGTTATATTGTAGGCTTTATGTAGAATCTTACCAAAAAAAAAAAAGATTGTTAACATTAAATACTCAAATAAAAATTAAGACATACTTGTATAATAATAAATGATGAAGTACTGAACATTACTTTCACCGTGCAACTTTATAAAAAACAAAAATAACAGTAGAGACAAAGACAAAAAGTGTATTTACCATAATCACCTACAAGAGAAGAAGTGAAGAAAATGAGAAGTCCATATTAATTGGCTGAGAGCCTTAAGAGAGTAAAAAGAAAAAAAAAATGTTAACATAAAATATTATAGAAAATGAATTGAGTACATGGCTTGTCGTAACCTTAAAAAAAAACAAAGACAAAAAGGTTAATCAATTAATATATAATATAACTCAATATAACTAATGAGAGAGAAATGGAGAGTACCCACACAAGATGTGAATGATAATAATATCTATATACCCATTAGTGTCAAGCTAATGGAGGTGACCATAATGGGATAAGAGATGCTGGAAAATTATTATAGAAGGGATCATGGAGTATCTAAATCTCGAGCATAACCATTCCTCTACATGCACTACGTGCGCAGAGAGCTAGTGTCGTGGTGTCGTAGAAGAGCGTAGCGTAATAGTTACCATTCGAACCACCCACTACACATATGATGGGCATCGGGGTCGAGCGGCAGAAGCACTACAAACACCCCGCTATGCTACATTGCCATTTATAATTGGAACTTGCAAATTGCTGTATGAGAGTTTATAGAGTTCATCAACAGGATTTTACTTTTAATGATATTATACTATCAATTTTGTTTGTTTGTTTGTTTTATTTTTATTTATTTTATTATTGTAAATCAACCAAAAAAGTTTGCATTGATATGATATTCATAAATCATATAATTTTGATCATATTTATATTAAAAAAAGAAGTGATCTATTTTTAAAAAAGTATTTATTGTCCAATTTTTTATAAGATAATGGAAATTATATATAGTTATGAATATCAAATAATAATATTTCTATGAATGATCTTCAACACAAAAACTCCACAAATTGAAAAAAATAGTTTTCATAATTTTTTTCATTATTTCTCCTCCCCCTTTTTCCTTTT